CCCTGCCAGTGGCATGCAGTGATGCTGTAGTGACAAGGACGGGCCCAGCACTGGCAAGAAGAAGCCCCTCCCCGAGCCCGTCCACTTGGCCCAGCCTCTAGAACCAGAGGAGATCTGCAGGGCGAGAAAGCCCTGAGTCTGGTGGCTTCCCAGGCTGGCCACAGCCCTCACCTCAGGTAGCGGCGGATGGGCTCACAGGCCACCTCCAGAATGACCATGGAGGGGTCCAGCACACGCAGCGCTTTGATGGCAGAGATGTAGAGGGTGATGATGTCACATGTGTTGACACCTACAGCCAGGGGGAGAAGCTGGTGGTCACGCAGTGCCCGGCACAGCAACCTCCCTGGTGCCGATGCCCAGTGGGCAGGGGCTCTACGGGGCACCCCCGCAGCCTCACTCCCCAGGGAGCCACTCCCTTGTCCCGCTGCCCACCCCCACCCGCTCACAGGTGCTTTTTCCAGAACCTTCCAAGAATCAGGCCCGCCCTTGCCAGGCAGTCTGTTCTCTCAGGACCACATACCACTCCCCAGGCCAAAATACTGGGGTCCGCACTCCCGTAAAAGAAAAAAAAGGCGATGGTCACCCTAGCTCCCCCAAGACCTCAAAAAACGGCTTCTTAACCTGTGTTTTAGACCCATAAACCCAGGGCTGGGAAACTAGGCCCCAGGCTCCCTACACGTGGGCGCCCTGGTGAGCATCTGAGCCCTGAGGGTCAAAGAGCCAGTTGCCAGAAGCCCACACACGGCACCTGGGTGGAGAAGCCGAGTCTCTAGGGCGGACTTGAGGGACACGAGGAGCTGCTGCCTCTGGTCAGTCCTCTCCAGACAGTACTTGAGGTCCTCGATGGCTGGCCGGGAGTCCGGGAAGTCTGTGAGCAGAAGGACTCCCTTTAGGGACACGCGTGTGTGTGCACACATGCGGCTGGTGCAGAGCGTACTCCGTATGCGAGAGGACACACAGACCCACGGGCCCTGGGACAACGATCAGACCACCTGGCAGGTGCTGTAACCGACGCTTTTGTGTGCTGATGCAGGCAACAGCTCCACAGGACAGACAGGGACACCTAGGGGCCAGCCCCAAGCAGGAGCCAACGCTGAGGGAGCAGAGGGGTGGACGCCCAGAAGCACCAGTCCAGCACCTGCCACTCCTGCCCTGCTCCAGACACCAAGCTCGGCTCCGCACCTCGCCAGAGCCCAAGGCAAAGGCGCAGGGAACCCAGGCGTGGCTGTGGCGAGGACACAGCAAAGCCCCTGGGAAGGCTCCCTGACAGGCAGGTAGCCCTGAGGCGAGCGGGGTGGGTGTGTGTCTGACCTCGGATGATGCTGAAGAGCTCCTCGATGCGCAGGCTGGCATAGATGCGGTAGAAGAACCTCTGCACGTGGCAGCGCCAGCGGCGCAGGGTGTTGCCAGCCTCAGGGGACGCAGGCCTGGCGGGGCCGTCCTGCAGGAACACCTTGCCGAGCCAGCCAACCACCCTCTCGATCCACTGTCGGGAGAGCACTGGTGTGTGGAGGTATTGGGGGGCGAGTCCCCACCTGACCCCCAGGATGGGAAGAGCGGCGCAGCCACCCACCCTGTTGGCCAGGTCCCAGAGGAGCCCCAAAGACCACCTGTGTCTGGAGGCAAGGAGTATGTCAGAGTCTGCAGGATGGTGGCCACAGAGGGGTACCTGGGTCCTCCCTCAACCCCCACGCCCTCTCATACACATCAGTCATCACTCATCTAGGGAAACAGCGATCCTAGCACGAGACGCTGATGGACACTCACGGCCTGTGTGCTGTGCCTGGTGGCATGCTTGCCCCCACTTAAGAGGATAAACCTGTCTCTGGAACTAGAGTCGTGAGCAGCCAGCCTCCACCCTGTGTAGGCAGCGCAGCTTATAACGGAAACGTCTGAGCGCGTGCAAATCCACAGGAGGCACGTGGACTACCACACGGACCCAGTGCGCACACATCCCCACAGACCAACCGACCAGCCACGAGACCACCCGGACAGTCGACCTTTCCTAATTACTTCTGGGGCACAGTGCAGCTACCCCAGCTGAGCCTCCAGGCCGTGTGCCCACTCTAGACCACCCCTGGGGGACACCCACTTTGAACACACTCTTTCACAGCTAATCTGTATCCTCAGGTGTGGCCATCTGGAAACACTGCGGAGAGGACAGGTGAGAAGTGGGAGCCAGGCAGACAGCCCCACATGGCTGGGCCCAGCTCTCCCACAACTCTGGGAGCCCAGAGCAGAGCCCCAGACCACACCCTAACAGCGCAGGATGTCTCAGCCCATGCTGTGGTGTGGTGGCAGTTCAGTCCACAAGGAAACCAAGTAAGCCCACACTCAGGTGGGGCAGCAAAGAGCAAATGAGGGCGCGTTCACTGACCCCTCTGCAGGCCCAGCCTCACCAGGCCTGCTGGGGAAGCCCCCCTGGGATCCCAGCCCTTGCTCTGCTTCCAGCCATGGGATTCTGCGCAGACTTGATGAGCACGTCCCAGAAGTGTCCTCAGTGGTACCAGGGCCCAGAAATACTGGCCTCTGCCCAGCACTAAGACAGCTCCAGCAACCACCTGGTCCTGGTCCACCCAGGCCCCGGTGCTCTGGAAGATTCTATAACCAAGGTGTCAGATTTCCCAGAAACCTATCTCCCAGTCCCAGGGACACAGCCCAAGAGGGGGTCCTTACCTTGTGGAATTCGCGCAAAAAGGAACGCTCGTACTCGCCCCGGCAGCGGTCCTCCATCCTCTCCCGGGTCACCTGGTGCAGAGTGGTGGTCACAGCCTCGGCACTGACCCGTTCCAGCAGACTGAGCCTGTGTCTAGAGGGGAGTCCAGCCGATGGAGCGCTCAGCACACGCAGCTCCGTCACCCGGCGGCCCCAGGTCAGCCCTGACTACAGAGCACACACAGTACACACACCTCCCCACACGCTCAGGGGCAAGAGGACAACTGTACTAAGGACTTAGCAGACAGAGCACTGCAAGGTTCTTCCCTCCCTGCCCAGCCAGCTTCTCTGCCCAGACAGGGACACTGGCCTCCCCATGTGATCAGCAGTAGCAGGTCAGGCCCAAGCCTCGTCTCACAGGAATGGCTCTGAAACAACTCAATACGTTGCCACCCTGGCTGCACACTTTGTGCCTTTCAGTGCAGACTCTGGCCTATAGCAGCAAACGAGTCAAGAGGGGATGAGAAAGAAGGTTTCCATGTAACTTTCACCCGCATGAACCCAGCAGAAGCCCTTCAGGGCCTGGCTAACTCCTGCCAGCAACAGGACCATTCCCTCCAGCCACCAGAGATACTCTCTCCCAGATAGCTGCATTCGTTCAATGGGACAAAATCACCACAAATGGCCACACAGGGCGTGACAGTCACTAAAGGGCTACAACAGGACTTGGCTCTAACAACAAAAAAACCTTTTCTCTCTGAAGGACTAGGAAGGAAACCTGCTTGCCCGAGTGCTGGCCTAATCTCCCTGTCACATTCTGGAGAGAAGAAACCCCACCCCACTATTCACAATTACAGAGTAGAGAACTCGCACGAACATGAACGGCACTCCTCCCCGAGAAAGCCTACAAAACACAAAGGAGAATCCTACAGAGCCCAGTAAGTTCAGAACCAATAAGAAATCTGCTGCTGCAAACACAGGCCACGTGGGGCCTTAGCATGGGCAAAGCGTGAAACCCTAGGTGCGAATGACAGGAGACACCTGTGTCCAGGACATACAGCACAGGGACCCCTGAGACCCTCCCCCTGTCATGTCCCTGGCTATCAGGCCAAGTGGCAGAGATGCCCCAGCCAGGTCACCAGCTCTATTCACAGGCTCCCTAGACCCAGGGGAGCGTGGGAAACCAGAAGGAGCAGGGGCACAATACTCACAGGACCTGGCTGAGCTGGTGGAACTGCTCCAGTGCCTGGCGACACCAGCACTGCTGCTTGTCACTGCCGCATCCTGCACACAGCGGGCTCTGCAGGAGCCGGTAGTATCGGCGGCGGGCGTACCGGCTGTCCAATTCCCCCTCCAGTTCCGGGTCTGTGCCCCCCTCTCCCTTCCTCTTACTCTGCATGTAGACTCTCAAGAAACGCCCATAGAGGCACTGGATCATCTCTTGGAAGGTTCTGGGGGTAGAAAAGAAGAGGATTCCACGCAACATGGTGTGGACCTTTTCCCGAAGCCCCTGGGCACCAGTGCCCATCAACAGGCCCAGGCGAGTCCATTTCTCCAGAAGCTCCAGGCTACGCAGGTAGGGATCCAGGCGGCTCTCCAGCAGGCCAAAAGCGTCGAGGAGCAGCAGAAGGCACTGGGGCTCATCGGCAGCGTTCTCGCGTTGGGAGATGGCATTCCAGAACTCCGGGGAGATGTTGGCCTGCAGGTCGTTCTGCAGCACCTCTACAAACCACTCCTCCAAGACTGAGTGCAGACCGTGGCACCTCAGAACCTCCACCGCTGCCCGGAGCTCCTCCTCCTTTGGCGGGACCGCACCGCTGGTCCGGGAAGACGCCTGGAGTGCAGAAAACCGTGAGGAGAGGGGAACACGGCGTAGAGGTGGGTGGAGGCTGCGGAAACCCCGCTGCCCATCGTCCCCAGCGCACGGATGTTGGGCCGAAGCTAGAAAAGGGCTGCCAAGGGAGCCGAACGAAGCGGAACGGTGGAGAAAGGAGGCAGGGCAGAGGGGGACGACGGACGGGGCCCGTATGACCATTAGGGTGGATGCCCTAAAGCGTGTAGGGTCCAGGAAACCCCGCGCGGGCCCGCCGCTTTCTCCCCGGGCCTCACCAGCCCCAGCGCAGCTGGCGGAACCAAGCCAGTGCTGACGGTATTCCAGGCCATCAGCAGGTCCTGTCCAGGCCCGGGGTGGCCGTCCCCCTCCGCCGCCATCGCCGCCTCCGCCATCTGCGCCCACCGGCCCCTAGATGCCCCCGGCGCCTCGCGCTGCGACGACGCAGGGCTGGGAGCGGCGCGCAGCCATGACGCACGCGAGGCGCACGGCGATGACGCGCCGGGCCCGCGCCGTCGGGAGGCGGTGCGCAGGCGCGGCGGCGCTGGCCGCGGCGGTTGGCTCGGCGGGCGTGCGGGCGGCGACAGCCATGACCCAGCAGGGCGCGGCGCTGCAGAACTACAACAACGAGCTGGTCAAGTGTGAGCTGCGCAGCCGGGGCGGGGGGCCGGGGCCTGGTTCTTTTCTTTCTTTTTTGGGGGCACAAACGTAGTGGAGTTTTGTGAGGATGTGGCCGGGTGCTGGTTCTGCCCGCGCGGGTCTGCGGCCGCCGCACCTACGGCTCTCGGGAGTCGTGCGGTTGAGCCCGGCGGAGGCGGCGGCCCACGCACACCGCGCCCGCCGGGCCAAGCCCTCACCGGCCCCCAGGCCCCGCGCCGCGCGGGCTCGCGAGCTGGCTCGGGTGGAAGGACGGAGCGGGGCCCCCTGCGCGCCCTGGGCCCACGGAGCCGCCCCCTCCGCCCCCAGGCATCGAGGAGCTGTGCCAGAAGCGGGAAGAGCTGTGCCGGCAGATCCAGCAGGAAGAGGACGAGAAGCAGCGGCTGCAGAATGAGGTGAGGCAGCTGACGGAGAAGCTGGCCCGCGTCAACGAGAACCTGGCACGCAAGATCGCCTCTCGCAACGAGTTTGACCGGACCATCGCGGAGACGGAGGCTGCCTACCTCAAGGTGGGGCTCTGGACGGCTCTTCCCCCCACCCCGCAGTCCAGGCCGGCGCCTGGAGGCATCCACTGCAAAGCATCGGGACCGTGGCCTGGGGCTCCCAGCTGCGGGCAGTCTGTGCCTCGCTGCCTTCTCAGGCTGGGGCAGCGTGGCCGGGCCCAGGGAGGAATGAGGACCGTGGGGCTCTCTGTGGCGCCTAGTGTATCCTGGATCCTCTTCTTTGTCCGTACACCTCAACCACGTGGTTCTTTCTGCTCAGAGTGTGAAGAGTGTTGGGCAGGGCCAGCCCACCCTGGCTGTGCAGGGTGGGGAGGGAAGGAGCTTTGGGTCAGACTGGGGAGGGAAAACAGGGCTCTGCTGCCCGTCTGCCAGTTCCCTCAGGTTTCTTTTTGCCTGTCCCCCAGGCCTGTTGGCTACAGCACCCACAACCAGGTCCTGGCACCCAAGTGTGAGGGGTAGGATGCAGCTGCGGGACCTTCCCAACAGGAGGGCCAGTGATAGCCTTCTCGTTTCTCTGCCCCCAGATCCTGGAGAGCTCCCAGACGCTGCTTAGCGTCCTGAAGAGGGAAGCCGGCAACCTGACTAAGGCTACGGCTTCAGACCAGAAGAGCAGCGGAGGCAAGGAGAGTTGACCGGGCCATGGCGGGGCCTGCCTTTAGCTGTGCCCACCTTGACTCAGCCCCCAGCAAGTCTGTCCTTAAAGTTTCTGTTCTTCGTGGTAGCCCAGCTGCCTTCTCTCACTGTTCCAGGTGCCAAGAGGGGCAGCTGCCAACCTCTGCTGGCATCAGGTAACAAGAAAAGCCCGGGGCACAGCCCACGGGGGTGGTCGTAGCTCCATGTGCACACAGGCTGTGGGGACAGTAGGCTCCAGGTCAGCTCTGCAAGGGGCTCTAAGGCGCCCACACACCCTTGGGCTGCCAGGGAGTCCCCTCATCTTGTTCCTCCTCAGCCAGCAGGGGCCCAGGCCAAGCAAAGGGGGCAAAGGGTGGGGGCCCTCCCTCATCCCAGAACCCACACCTCAGGGCTCACCCTGTGACCGTATCAATAAAGATTGTCTTTGTAAAGACCTGTTCTGTCCTGCTGCCTCTGCCTACCCTGTGTTGGGTGTGGACCCTGGACACCCCCGGAGCACAAGCCCCTGCACAGCTGCCGTGGCTCCTCCTTGCGGGGAGGGGAGAAGAGAGTCTGGAGTGGCTTCCCTGTGGCTGCCCCACTGGCTTTGGGGACGCAAAGCTGAGGGTGCCCACCTGCCTAGGTCAGCCCCAGCCCTTGGCTGTCACTTGCAGGGCTGTTGGTCTCCCCCAGCTCCAGTCCTGTGAGTGGCTGTGCTCACAGGTCCTGCTCTCTACCACACCCTGGTGTCCAGTAAAGAACCCGGCCCAGAGAGACAGCTGCTGGCTGCCAAGTGTGTGCACCGCCTGCTCTGGGCTCAGGTCCCTCAGCAAGGACTGGGTGGCTGTGGTCACCCCTGCACCCATTCCTCAATTCCACGTTCTGCTTGGCCTGGTGGCACCACTGCTGCTGCCAGAGCCTGGCGTTCGTTCCTTGAGCACATGCCAGGCATCGCCCACTTCCATCATTCCACGCACCCTGGGCCCTGCCTCCGTCCTGTCCCTGCAGCTGCAGCCACCAAGGCCCAGCTGCCCGGTGTCTGGCCTGGTTTGGGAAGGATGTGTTGATCCATGAGTCCAGAGAAAGCTGGGCCCCCTCCCAGGGAAACACCAAAAACTCTCCTTCCTCCCTGGTCTGGCCAGCCAGAATCTCTGCTCGGGTCTGACGTTCCAGGAGGGACACGGACACTTGCCTTCGACACCTGAGTCCGTTTTGCCTGTGGGTCATCACAGCCTTGCTGCAGGTTCCTGTGTGTGTTGGGGGGAAGCTTTCCAAGCCAAAAAGACGAGATCCCTGCACGGTGCTCTGCCCACTCTCACCTCCCGTGCTGCCCTCCCACTTCCCCGTTTCTTGGCTCCTCAGGGAAGCCACTGCAGGCCGACAGCGGCAACACTCACCCTCCCACCTGGACTCTAGGCCCTGGATGGACAGCACACCTGGTGTCCCACCTCCCCCTGTGCCAGCTCTGGGAGATTGGGGGCTGGATAACAAGCTATTGAAGGGAGATCAGAGCCTGGACCATCGGGACCACAAGGGGCTGAATCCCCACCACATACCCACACACCGAGTGGCCCACTCTCTGCATTCCTGCCCCAGGTTCCCCCCGCAGCCCCGACTTTAGGCTGAGGACCACACGGAGAGGCAGGGGCGGCCTTGTCAGTGCTGTTTATTGAGTCTGTTGTCAGAGGCACAAAGGGGACAGCTGAGCTCCACCATGAAGGGAATGTGGCTGGGGACAAGGGCCTGAAGTTCCCACCGGGAGCAGGAAGCTAGGACAGGCCTTCACCCCAGACATGCCCCACAGCCCCTGGGAGGAAGGCTTGGCGGGCAGGACGGAGAGCAGCCTGGTGCAGAATCTGCTCAGGCCCCCACCTGGTCACAGACAGGTCACCATCCTGCAGGACCCTGGCCCTCCCCCACCTCTGCTCTTCCTTGGAGCCCCCAAACCAGGGCCAGGGGTGAGACCCAGCCCCAGTGATAAGAGAAGCCCTGGCTGCTTCCAGGGCCAGCACGGGTGTGAGGACCCAGGAGGTCAGGGTGAGTCAGGGCCAGGCAGAGCGGCCAGGGTCTGGGCAAGGGGTGTAAAGTGGGGGACTCCTAGGAATGGCCTGGCTCCCGGGACCCCCACTGAGCTTGGCCTTGGCCGTCCTGGTCAGAAATGGAGGGCAGGCTCACTGCAGAAGTCCGCGAGGTCGTTCTGACTGGCAGGTGTGAGCTGAGGGAGGGCAGAAGGTAGCCACGCGGGCTTATTGGTGTCAGATGCCCCCCACCAGTCACCAGCCACAGGCGCCCACCCTCCCCCTCGCCCGGCTCACCGTGAGCTCCTTGGGTGGGGGCTCCGCCTCACTCGGGGTCTGCTCTGGGGTCTTTTCCTGCCACTTGCCAAAGACCACAGAGTGCTTTGGGGTGTAGCTGGACAGGCCTGCAGGTAGGGCAGACACATGGACACGTGGGCATGCGGCCCAGGCTCCACCCACCCAGGCTGCTCATCCACAGGTGGACACTCACCTGCATTGCCTTCTGGCAGCCGAGGGCTCTCAGGCCCCACACCGCTCACAAACGTGGCCCGGGGCAGGAAGAGCACAAAGGGTTTCTCCTCTGAGCTGGATTCAACCTCCTCCTCCTCGTCATCCTCCTCCTCCTCCCCCCCTTCCCCTTCTTCCTCTTCCTCCTCTTCCTCCTGCACCAGGGAGCTCTCGGAAGGGTACTCGAATGTGGTCTGAAGGCTCTTGTCGTTGAAGGAGATCTTCATCTGGAAGTAAGGGACACATCAACAGGGCCCCGCTGCCCAGCTGGGCACAGTGCTGTTGTGGGGCCCTGTGGGTGACAATGTACCAGAACCCTTCAGAGGCTCCAGGAGGTAGGAGTAGAAGACCCCTCTGCCTGAACCCTGCAGGGCCCAACCATCCCCTCAACCCCTGGGACCAACAAATCCTCCCCACCCCAGGCCTGGGGTGAAGTCCCCCTGAATGACACACCCATTAGAGACCAGACTCCAGCCAGGACCAGGACCCCAACATCTTTGTCGCCACCAGCCTCTAACCTGCTCCCAGGGCCAGAGGGCTGCCCTCTCAGGACCCTCCCATTCTGCTCTTTGGGCAGAGCACCAGCTCGGGGGCAAGGCACCCTCTCCCACACAGCACCACACAGCACCCCACAGCAGGAACAGGGTGGAAGTGAGGCTGCACCCTCAGGCCCCAAACCCTGGGCTCGCAGCTGCTCCTGTGTCGGCTGAGGCCACTCTCTACAGCCCAGTTCACAACTTCTGGGCTAACTGGACACCTGCACCCCCCCGGATCGTCTTGCTGAGCAGGAGCCACCACTGCTGACCAGGGCCCCGAATGAGTGGTGGTGCTGGGCGGTGGCCACCTGCCACCCCAGGACGGTGGCACCCGGCAACATTGCCCACTTTGCAGATGGAGGCTGCGCAGAGTGGGGGTCCCTTCCAGAGCCTAGGGTGCCAGTGGTCCCACTGGGGACTCCGTCCTCCCACCCTACTGCCCATCTTGCCCTTGCTCACCTCGCCACTCTGTAGGCTGCAGGATTTTACATCCAAGCAAATTCTCTCCTCCTGGTGGCCTCAGAGCCCAGATGGGGCTGCTGGTTCCAAGGGTCACAAGGCAGGTGAGAGCAGAAGGGCCGCGGGCACCCGCAGTAAGGATCCCCCACCTGCCCTGACCGAGGCTTGCTGGGAGGCTGCACTGGGCAGGGGGCTGAGCTTGTGAGGGCCAAACTCCCACCAGGCCACTCAGCCACGCTGGGCCTGGGCCCAGCAGGTCCGTAATGAATATGAGCAGCAGGTGGGAGCAGCCCTGCCGGAGCTCGAAATATTAAACTCTTCCTGGGCACAGGACACCAGCAGCCAGCTCAAGTTCCTCCTCCTCCCCTGGAAGAAGCCGGAGGCAGAAGCCGGGCCCCCAGGCAGGGAGCCGCAGCAGCCCAGGGACAGGACAGGAACAGGTCCCCGCAGGAAGGCCAGGCCCACCCTGAGGCAGCTCAGGAGGCTCAGGGCAGCACAGGGCCCCACACTCGCTGCCCTGGAAGCCTGTATCCAGGAAGGAGGACACACACTCCTGCCATCCTGCCCCTCATCCCAACGGCCACACCTGCCCACACGGCCAAGGGAGCCCTGGGCCCCTTCCACCATGAACACCCCTCCCTCCAGGGCCAAGGGAGGGGGCTGCTCTCTGGCCGGAACTCCTGGCTTCCCCACTGCAGTGCGGCCGAGCTGTCAGGGGGATGAGCAGACTGGGGGAGGGAGACCCCTGAGTCAGGAGGGCAAAGACCAAGAAGTCTGCTCCTACCCCTCAACCTACCCTGCCCCACGGCCAGGCCCACCTGGCCCTTCAGCTGTCGTCCCACAAGAGGCCGGGCAGGGCAGAGGGCAGGACAGTAGGGTGGCCACCCACTGCCAGCCCTCCCAGACCAATCCTCTGGGACAGATACCCCAGCAGGGGCCCAAGGCAGGCTGGAGCTACAGGCCAGGGGCCCCCCTGTGCCCCGGCCCCAGTGAATGGGGCTCCAGTGCCCTGGATACATGGCGCCATCCTTGCTGACCCAGAGCCCTCCAGGCCCATCCCCCACCGCTGAGAGCACAGGAAGGGCTGGCTGCCAGGGCCTGGCCGGATTAGCGCACCCGCATTAGTGCACATGACCAGCTCTGAGCAGGGAGGCTGAGGGGGCTGGACACACAGGCACCGAGCCTGGCACAGCCTGACCAGGCGGAGGGGGTGGACAGGCAGCCCCTGTCTGTCCCCAGCTGGGACCCAGAGCTCTGGTCACGTCCTGCCTCCCGTCTCCCCAGCTGGGCTGGTGCTGTGTGGGACTCAACAGCCCCCCTCTCCCTGGGCCTGGCTCCACCAGCCCCCTCCCCCATGGGTGCAGGTCAGTGGGTCACAGGACACCCCGTGACTCACACTGCAGGGTGGGGGCGAGCCTCCAGAGCCCAGGCACACAGGACAGGCCGCAGGGCGTGGCCAGGGGCTGGCCCTGCATATACCTGGTCACCCGCCTCTCAGGGACTTTGCCCACCGCACTAAGCACAGCAGGCAGATGGGTCCTGGCTCAGCTGAGCCTCCAGCAGAACCTCCCAGCTTTCACAGGGCCCTTTTGTTCTCCCTCCACCCACCCTGCCTTGCACACCCAGCTTTGGTTACCGAAGGGCGTCCACCCCGGACTCAGAGCCGGGAATCAGGCCCAGCCTGCCCAGATGCAGGTGTGAGCTCAGCCGGCCCCGCCCCTCACCGCCCCAGCACACACCTGTCTGCCTCCGGTCGGGCCCCACACAGCTCAGGGGCAACGGGATCACCCCACACAGCCCCAGCCAGAGTGCCCGTGCCGACAGGACCCCAGACCAGGGCTGCCAGGTGGTGTCCACAGCTGCCCCTGAGATGCTGGACGCTCCCCAGCCTAGGGTCGAGCCTCTCTACCAGTGGGAAAGCTGAGTGGAGCAGGGTCCGGGCCTGCTCCGGGGTCCCTGGCTCCAGAAAGACCACTCAGGCCATTGCAGGAAGAGATAGAGGGACCAGAAGAGGAAAGCTAACGCAAGAAGACTCAGCCACTGACACCCAGAGGCATGACAGCTCCTGGCCACTTGCTATCCACACGCACAAGAGAAGAGGAGCAGGGAGAGTGCCAGCCAGGGCTTGAATCTAGCAGGGGGATGGTGTCGCTATGGAGAGCAGATGGTGGGGCGGCACCCGCAGGGCTGAAGGTCAGAGTAAGACCATGGGCCAGGCCAGGCCATGGAGGCTGGGGCAGGCTGGGGTGGAGGCTGTGCTGCAGGTGAGGGTGGACGGCCCTGGGTGTGAGGACAGAGCCCTGGGGACACAGACATGCTGGGGCTGGGCGAGGACCAGGAGGGGAGGAGACCCAAAGAGAGGGGAAGGGACAGCCAGATAGGCAGGAGCCAAGCTGTGGCAACTGAAGAGGCAGGCGATGGTGAGGAGTGAAGGGACACCCCCACCCACCACGAAAACAGCCTGGGGCACAGCTACAGCACCACAGAGCAGTCAGCCCCAGCTTGGCCCTGGAGAGAGACCAGGCCTCTACGCATCCAGCCAGCGGATGACTACAGCATGGACCTGTCCCGCCAGGCAGGTCCCCGGCACACAGGTGGCAGGGAGGCAGCTCCCACCACCCAGAGCAGGGCTGCAGCCCTCCAACACCGGGCAAGGGCTCCATACCCTGAGTGGCCAGCCCAGAGGCAGCTCCTCCCCCACCACCCACCGCCCCCCACGGCCTAGACGGTCCCACTGAAGAGCTGTCCCACTGCCCCTCACTGCATCCCAGGAGAGGTCCTGGCACCTCCCACCACTGCCTTGGGGGCACCCAGCCGTGGGTGGGGGGAGAAGCAGGCAGCCAGCCCAAGGTCGTGCTGTCAGTCGTGCTGGCCTCCCCGCACTCCAGCCACCCCCATCCCCTGGGGGAAACAGGAAAGTGACCCAAACCAAAGGCTGGCTGGAGGGTCAAGGCAGGGCCCAGGCTGGGAGCCGCAGGAGAGGCTGGAGGAGCACCATGTATCCCCCACCTGTGGGTGCTCACGGGGTATGGGCAGAGCGCATGGGGTGGATCCACTCTGCAGCCCAAGGCCAGCAGACCACTCCGAAAGGCTGGGCAGCCCCATGCCTCGGTCCCCTCCGAGCAGGCCTTGGGGCTCTCCCCGGGCAGGGCAGCTGGTGTGTGTCCAAACAGGAAGTCACAGCCAGCAGGTCGCTCTGGCAGAGCCCTAGGCCAGGCCACCTGGCCACGCCAGGCATCATCCATCTGGACCCCCGACCCCGCGGGCTGGCACCGAGACCAGGGCCGGCTGGCCTGAGCCCCTCCCCACTGCCAGTCCAGGGCCGGCTTCCCAGTCTGGGCCCTTCCTCCCCTCCCCTGCCCTTCTCACCCCGACACAGCCACAAGTGACCCCCATGGTTCTGTTCCTCATCAGGGCAAGATGGCTCCAAGCAGAAGTCCTGGGCCTTGAGTCCCACTCGGGAAGAAGCCAGACTCACGGTGGATGAACCATACAGAATAAGAGCAGGAGTTCTAGAAACAGGAGCCTGAACTCAATCCCTGCCCCACAAGCCCCGTGACCCCACTGCTATCACTGCTACTTCCCAGAGCGAGTGTGGGAAGGGACCACCTCACGGAGCAGCCAGTCAATGGTCCGGAAGCAGGAGAGAGGCAGACTAGAGCGGAGGCAGGAGTGGGGCAGAGGCTGCTGCTATTGGATAGACTTCACCTCCAAGGGCTCAGACGGCCCTGGGGGTATGGGGGATTGGCAGCACGCTGGGCCCAAGCCCCGAGTCCCCCACTGGAAGCACCCCCTGACCCAGCAGGAGCACGAAGCCCTCACCCAAAGGGAGGATGGCACAGGGAGCAGGGTCAGAGGGAGCCTCAGGACACAATCACCAGCCACCACTGAGGAAACAGGCTGGGGAGACGTGATCTCAGGGTGGGCTCTGCGGTGCCCCACAGGTGCTGACTCGTACCCACGGAAGGTGCGTCTGCTCCGTACCAGCGGATAGCGGCTGTGTGGGGCTGGCCTTGGAATTTGCCCGGGGGGTAAACAGGCGCTGGAATGACCAGGAAGAATCTGAGGAACGTTTTCTTGTGCCCAGAGGGTTCCGGGCCACTGGCCTCCGCTGGCTAGGGAGTGAGGCTCACCTGGCTGGCCGGCTCTCTGCCTCCAACGGGACTGCACTTGGGTCTGTCTGCCTGAGGCTCCTCCGCCCCAGTGGGCTTCCCAGCACCACACCCCAGGCCCAGAGCAGGCCTGGGACACACACTCGGTGCTCATTCAACCTTCCTGCCGTGCTCTGGGCCCACTGGCCTTCTGGGAAGCTGACAGCCCGCCTCCGAGTAGCTGGTGGGCTGCACCCCCAGGCTGACTGTGAGGTAGGGATCCAGCCATCCCATATCCCCGACCTCCTGTCCCTTCCCACTTACATCTGACATCTGCTGCCCACACAGGCCAGGGCTCCAGGAAACGACGCCAGGCTATCCCCCTAGAGCCTGCTTCCCCCAGCTGGGCTCACAGTGGGACAAGCCCATCCAGCCAATTCCAGACGGACCCACAAGCAGCACAGCACCACCTGGAGTGGCCCTCCCCACGAGCCCTGCACGGCAGGTACGCAGCAGGCTAGCTGTCCCCACAGCCCCCACGTCATCAGGGCTCCACTGAGGCCCTGGACCTGGCATGGTCCCTAGTTCTCTGCTCCACCTGCAAGTCCCGCCTGCCCATGCCCGGCCTCCTGGGATGGGGCACACACTGTACCCACAGCCCTGTGACTGGTCACTCGCCCCCTCCCGACCAGAGCCCTGCCCCCACCACTGACCTTCTTTCTTGAGGAGCCAGCCTTGGTGAGACAGGACTTCTGCAGGGCCAGGTAGCCGCCAATCACCTCAATCTCGTGCACAGTGGGGTAGCGTTTCTTCAGCGTGGACCCCAGGGCAGCTTGGGGCCCCGAGAGGAAACCAGCCTCCTCTTCCTTGGCCTCCTGTGGCGGGGGCTCCCCGCCGGCCTGTCCAGGGTGCTGCCCCCGCAGGGCCTCTGGCCTCCTCTTGGGCACCACTGTAAAGGTGTTGTTCCCTCGGTGCTGGAGTTCGGATGTATGCCCAGGCCTGGCAGGGTGCGGGCGGTACTGGGGAGGCACACCACCCCCAGAGCAGGGCAGTTTGGCTTCTTGGGGCGCTTCCTCCTCCGAGTCCACCTCGTCAATGAGAGTCACAGGCAGCCCCGGCCTACCATGCTCCCGGCCATTCTTGGCCAAGCCGAGACCCCTGCAGCCCTCGGCAGGCTCGGCTTCGTCGGTGGCCGGCAGGAACGGGGGTGGTGACGATGACCTCTGCCGCCTAATGGCCCGGTCAGTGAGGGCGATGGCTGGCCTGGGACAACCCTGCTCCTCAATCCCCAAGGAGCTCTTCCCGAGAGCAGGTGCACCGTCCCCTCCAGGCACCAGCTGGGCTCCCAGCCTCTGGCTCTGGGAGGCCCAGCCCACCTCTCCCTGTTGCAGCTCCCCAGACTGCCTGCCCTCGGGAGAAGGGGCCCCACAAGCCTTGCGCTTAGGGATGAACACAAAGGAGTTCCGCGAGTTCGCTCGGAGGCTGGCCAGGGCCCGGGCCTGGAGGTCCCCCGAGGGGACAGTCTCCATGTCTGGCTTGGGAGCTGGCCGTATCTCGAAGGAGTCGTTGGCGCTGGTGGCCGCGGAGACCCACTGGCGCTGGCTGGGAGTGGCACTGGCAGGACGGAGCTCGGGGAAGGTAGTGGGCGCGGTTGGAGTGGCACTCGGGGTCCCGGGGCTGGGGGGCGCGTGGAGCGAGGGCTCCCCCGACTCCGCCTTTGGCTTCCACTCGCCCGGCCCAGGCGGGGAGCCCGCGAGGCCGTTGGCAGGGCCGGCCCGGGGACCGGGGGCCGCGGGCCCGTTGGGGAGCGCGCGGACGCCCGCGCCGCGGTGCAGGCCCCGGGGGTGGACGGTGAAGGAGTTGCTGCCGGTCTTCTGTAGGAAGTCGC